TTTTTTCCATTTGTGAATGATTGCACCAACTGTTGTCACCTTCTCACCAAGCTGCTTGGCCATAGTTTGGTAGCCCAGTCCAGCCTTGTGTAGGTCTACCATCTTGTCCCTGACATCCTTGGACAGCTCTTTGGTCTTTGCCATGGTGGAGAGTTTGAAATCTGATGGTTTGATTGCTCCTGTGGACAGGTGTCTTTTATACAGGTAACACAATGAGATTAGCAGCACTCCCTTTAAGAGACTGCTTCTAATCTCAGCTTGTTACCTGTATGAAAGACACCTGGTAGCCAGAAATCCTGCTGAATGATAGGGGATCAAATCCTTATTTCCCTCATGAACATGCAGATCAGTCATCATTTGTTAGACGCATTTCTGCTGAATTTGTTGTTGTATTCTGTCTCTCAGTGTTACACCGAACATTCCATTGTTAGACCGATCATTTCTGTGTGAGGGGCGAACATTCATTGTTAGACCGATCATTTCTGTGTGAGGAGCGAACATTCACCATCAGCAGGGAGCAAATACACATTTCCTTCCCTCTCTCTATTATATATATAATATATATTTAAATAAAATAATAAAAAATATAAAAAAACTGTATATAAATATATGCACATTTTTTTTACTTTACAAAGCTTAAATGATCCAGTTGGAAATATTTTTTTTTTTCAAAGGGGGTCCTTGGTAATAGAACCATAAATCCGAGATGGGCGGCACCTGTAGCAACCACTAATTTCATTGGCCTGCGGGATATAGGGATTTCCGGTTGCCATGGGTTGCGGCACTTCTTTGCTCTCTATACTTTGTTATAACGAGTTCAAAACTCTCAGTAATTTTGCTGAATGGGTGTTTTTCCTCGTAAATTCAATTTACTCGAATAGCTCTTTTTCTTATTTTTTTTTCCTTTCCCCAGCCAATCCTATACCCGTAAAACGAGTCTTATAAATCATACCATTAAAATTTAAGTGTAAATCATTGCGGATTACACCACGAGGTTGCAGTCCTTTCGGGTTTTATTTGCTCTCGTTTTGACGGCCTCAATATTTTTTCAGAACGGCAAAAAAAAAAAAAAAAAAAGACATAGTCATTTAAGTGAGCTATTTTTTTTTTTTTTTTTTCTTTTTCAATTAAAAGTGCACTTTCTTTTATGCAACATCAATTTTAATGCACGTGAAAAGTTTGCTAAGAAAGACAAGTGGAAATTGCGTTTATCATAGAATCAGTAGCCTGGAATAAATCATTAGCACTCCAGCTATAAAATTCGGAGCATATTTAGTGCTCGAGGTCTTGAGAAATTAAAAGGGAAGAATAAAAAAAAAAATGTTTAAAGAAAAGAAAAAAAAAAAAAGACGAGAGTACCGGCTTGCCCCCGGGGTCAATCATTTTTCTTCGGAAGAGAGATTGTAGATAACTGTCAGATCTTCGGAGCGCCTTCCGTCTCCCAACACCTGGCGGCCGATGCCGGCTATTGTGATTCCAGATTTTACCTTTCGCTGGAGAGAATTCTTCCCCCTTTTATTTGGGTAATAATTTTTATTTTTGTAGCTGTCTCTTTATCGATAAAAAAATATTCATAAGAAGAACATACATAGCTTACAGCTCATAAGCTCGGAATACGAACAATGCTTTTATTCATGTTTTTCATTACCGAGTTGCTGTGCGTTTGGTTGGAATAAAAAGGATCCAATTTTACAATCTTATTTCCCAAACAGATTTTTACAGCTCAGTAATTTATGTTTTGCTTCGCGAAGAGATGGAAAAATTATTAGTTTGATGGAATTCCATTATAGCAAGTAAACCTTTTGTCATTTTTGTATTTGAAGCTTTTGTTGGAGGTGTTCAGAAAAGTGAAAAGAGAAGCTTGAGCAGTTTTTTTTTTTGTTTTTTTGTTCATCTAAACGTTTTAACAATAATGAACTTCAAAAAAGTTACATTTTGTAAATGGAAGTCTTGTTGAAGTTATTCTTATTAATATTATTATTGTTATTAATATCGAACTTCTGAGCAGTTTGCACATTTTTTTGTTAACGTTCTAAAAATAATGAAAAATGTTACATTTTGGAAATGGAAGTCCTATTGAAGTTATTATTATTATTATTATTATATTATTATTGATGTATGAGCAGTTCTATTTGTTCGGCCAAACTATCAAAAAATAATGAAATTCAAAAATGTTACATTTTCAAAATCAAGTTGAAGGTATTATTATTTATTATTATTATTATTAACAACGTATGAGCAGTTCTTTTTGTTCGGCAAAACTATCAAAAAAAAAATTAACGTCAAAAATTTAAAATATTATTATTATTTTTTATGAACAAACCTCTGAGAAGTATGAGCGGTTTCTTTTTGTTCAGACACTTTTTAAAAGTTTGCACATTTTTTGTTAACTTTCTAAAAATAATGAATCTAAAAAATTTTACGTTTTGGAAATGGAAGTCCTATTGAAGTTATTATTATTATTATTATTATTATTATTATTGAAGATATGAGCAGTTCTTTTTGTTCGGCCAAACTATCAAAAAATAATGAACTTCAAAAATGTTAAATTTTCAAAATCAAGTTATTATTATTATTTTATTATTTTATGAACAAACTTCTGAGAAGTCTGAGCAGTTCTTTTTGTTCAGACACTTCTGAGAAGTTTGCACATTTTTTGTTAACTTTCTAAAAATAATTAATCTAAAAAATGTAAAGTTTTTGGAAATCGAAGTCCCATTGAAGTTACTATTTTTATTATTATTATTATTATTATTATTATTATTATTTTATGAGCAAACTTCTGAGAAGTCTGAGCAGTTTTTTTTGTTCAGACACTTCTGAGAAGTTTGCACATTTTTTGTTAACTTTCTAAACATAATGAATCTAAAAAATGTTACGTTTTGGAAATGGAAGTCCTATTGAAGTTATTATTATTATTTTTATTATTATTAATATTATTAACAACATATGAACAGTTCTTTTTGTTCGGCAAAACTATAAAAAAAAAATTAACGTCAAAAATTTTAAATTTTCAAAATGAAGTTATTATTATTATTATTTTATGAACAAACCTCTGAGAAGTATGAGCAGTTCTTTTTGTTCAGACACTTCTGAGAAGTTTGCACATTTTTTGTTAACTTTCTAAAAATAATGAATCTAAAAAATGTTACGTTTTGGAAATGGAAGTCCTATTGAAGTTATTATTATTATTTTCTGAGAAGTATGGCCAGTTCTTTTTGTTCAGCCAATCTATCAAAAAAATAACGAACCATCAATGTACGCAGCGCTTTACATATATATTGTACATTCACATCAGTCCCCGCCCCCGAGGGGGAGCGTACAATCTAAGGTCCCTAACTCACATTCATACATTCATATACTAGGGACAGTTTAGACAGGATCCAGTTAACCTACCAGCATATCTTTGGAGTGTGGGAGGAAACCAGAGTACCCGGAGGAAACTCACGCAGGCACAGGAGAGAACATGCAAACTCCAGGCAGGTGGTGCCATGGTTGGGATTTGAACCAACGGCCCAAGTACTGCCAGGCGGACATGCTAATCATTTAACCAGTGTGCTGCCCGTTATTTTATGAACAAACTTCTGAGAAGTATGAGCAGTTCTTTTTGTTCAGCCAAACTATCAAAAAATAATGAACCTCAAAAATCCTAAATTTTCAAAATGAAAGTCCCATTGAAGTTATTATTATTATTATTATTATTATTATTATTATTCAAAATGTATACACATGATATAGATAGAACAGTTTGCACAGCGCTTTACAATATAATGGCAGACAATACAATGCGATACAAGAGGGTTAAGAGGGCCCTGATCCTGAGAGCTTGCACTCTAATAGGGAAGGGCAAGTGGTAATAACTGTGAGAGGGAGGAGCTAATGGAAAAATTAAAAAGGTCAGTTTTTACATGGAACTGTGATAGGCTTCCTTGAAGAGATGGGTTTTCAGGGATGGACAGAGTAAGAGGTAGCCGGACAGATTGGGGTAAGGAGTTCCAGAGGATGGGAATGAGGTTCTGGAGAAGTCTTAGAGGTAAGCATTGGAGGAGGATGACAAGGGAGCCTGGAGAGCAGGAGGTCTTGGGAAGAACAGAGAGGATGATTTGGGTGATATTTTGAGACGAGGCTAGTGATGTAGCTCGGGGCAGAATTGTAAATGGCTTTGTATGTTTTTCATTTTATTTGTTGGGCAATTTGAAGCCAGAGGGGGGACTAGTGGACACTGACTGGAGGCCAATGGAGGGATTGGAGGAGAGGGGTGAAGGACACTGAATGGAGGCCTGTGGAGGGATTGGCAGAGAGGGGTGGTGGATACTGAATGGGGGCCAGTGGAGGGATTGGAAGAGAGGGGTGGAGGACACTGAATGGAGGCCAGTGGAGGGATTGGCAGAGAGGGGTGGTGGATACTGAAAACTGGAGGCCAGTGGAGGGATTGGAAAAGAGTGGTGAAGGACACTGAATGGAGACCAGTGGAGGGATTGGCAGAGAGGGGTGGAGGACACTGAGCGGAGGTCAGTGGAGGGATTGGCAGAGAGGGGTGGAGGACACTGAGTGGTGGTCAGTGGAGGGATTGGCAGAGAGGGGTGGAGGACACTGAGTGTTGGTCAGTGGATGGATTGGCAGAGAGGGGTGGAGGACACTGAGTGGAGGCCAGTGGAGGGATTGGCAGAGAGGGGTGGAGGCACCACACTGAGTGGAGGCCAGTGGAGGGATTAGAAGAGAGGGGTGGTGAATACTGAATGGAGGAGAATGGAGGGATTTTGAAGAGCGGGTTGGTGGACAATGAATGGAAGTTTTGCAAAGGTGTACCGGCTCCTCCCCTTCAGTCTTGCACAGGTGTACCGGCTCCTCCCCTTCAGTCTTGCACAGGTGTACTGACTCCTCCCCTTCAGTCTTGCACAGGTGTGCCGGCTCCTCCGCTTCAGTCTTGCACAGGTGTACCGCTCCTCCCCTTCAGTCTTGCACAGCTGTATTGGCCCCTCCCCTTCAGTCTTGCACAGGTGTACCTGCTCCTCCCCTTCAGTCTTGCACAGGTGTACCGGCTCCTCCCCTTCAGTCTTGCACAGGTTGTAGCGGCTCCTCCCCTTCAGTCTTGCACAGTTGTATCAGCTCCTCTCCTGGACTGAAATAGCGCCCCTCCTGGCTGGAGGTTGTCCAACATCATCTAGTCCAGCCTTTCTCAGACTTTTTACCTTCAAGGAACCCATGAATTATTTTTTTTCAGTCAAGGGAACCCCGAACCAGTCCATCAGTTGTGGTGAGAATGCTACCCTTCCAGACACTTATGTATTTCAGGTGCTCTATCATGTGGTGTTGGCCCCAGGAACAGCCAGATGCCATCAAATGAGAGGTCGCCGAGCCGCAGCTCAAGGAACCATTAGCAAACTCTGGAGGAACCCTGTTTGAGAATGGCTCATCTAGCCCTTTCCTCCCCATCCTGACTGTCCCCAGCCCTCCCCTTTCACGCAATGGTCTGTATGCAAATAGCACGGCCGTACCTCCAAACCGGGATTCACCCATCGTCAAGGTATTGTGCAGGGGCAGACTGACAACTTATGGGGCCCCCGGACAATAGGGATCATGGGGCCCCTGTGTCCATGCCCAAACTCAAAAAAGCCTATGAAAAAGGTACCAGGGGCATCTCATGGGGCCCCTACTGACCCCGGGCCCTCGGGCAGTGCCCGAGTTTCCAAATGGTCAGTCTGCCCCTGGTATTGTGATATTTGCATAACTCTTCCCAAGAGCCAATCCTCTGTTTCCATCAGGACTGAGGAGTACAGAGGCAGGGTGCTATGATGTTTCCAGTACAGCTCCCGCCGCCCCTCCCATGGTCATGGTCTGCTGCATTGCATAGAGAAGCACAGGGCATCATTGGCTCTAAAAGAAAGTTATGTCATGAAAATGTAAAAGTTTCATTTTCATGCCGATGAGAGGGAAGGGGGGGGGGGGGACCAGGGGGACGAAATATACGCAGATTAAACATCGGCTTTAAGCGAATAAAAAAAATAAATATGATGACGCTGAAGCTGAGCGAACAGATTGGCGAGATTTATGACCCGTTTGTTGTTGGGAAGTTGTATAAAGTTGGATTTCCACTTTGCATTCAGGATCGTCTGTCAGGGAAGTTTTGTTGTCTGTTTGTCCTTGAGCTCCGGAAACATTTTCCGTCAGCATTCCGGAACGATCTCACGCCGACCCGCAACTCCTTCAAATGTCACCAGTTGGCGTTGCGAGTTAGCGCCGTTTTTATGGCAGAATTGACACTTCCCCGGGATTTACGGCCGCTGCCCCCGATGAATTTACAATACGTCTCACTCAACAGCGAGCAGAAAAGTAAAAGTGCGTTTTATACCGGGAGCCGATCGATATATCACCGCGGCAGGCGGGCGTAAATCTCTTTGAAATGGCAAACCGAGTCTTTGGGCCGCGGGCAGGAATCTGCGGAGGTAACGGGTCTTATTACTGCCGGCGACATCAGATTTTACTTTGTCTCGCGGATCCGCGTCTATATACTGGTTTTGTAGCCAATATATTATTCCGTTAAAGGCGATAAAAGGCAGTTCTGGTTACGTGCCGCATTAAGCATCTTAAAGAGGACCTGTCATCAGAATTATGTTTTTACATGAAAGCAACCGTAAACCCCTGATATGGAGAATGAACAAATCACATCCTTCTATGGTGTGGACCAGGGGTGGACTGACAACTCATGGGGCCCCTGGGCAATAGGGGATCATGGGGCCCCTGTGTCCTTGCCCAAACTCAAAAAAGCCTATGAAAAAGGTACCAGGGGCATCTCATGGGGCCCCCTACTGACCCCGGGCCCTGGGGCAGTGCGCGAGATTCCAAATGGTCAGTCCTCCCCTGGTGTGGACTTGTTGCAATCCAAAGCAGCGAGTGTGATTTCTGTCTGCTCTGTCTTTCCTCTGTTATCTGTATGCAGGGGCGTCCCGAGGCAGGTGCAGGGGGTGCGGCCCGCACTGGGTGACACCTACCACACGGGGTGACACCTACCGCACGGGGTGACACCGGACCTGCTCCACGAAAAAGTAATTTGTAAAGAAAGCCGATGATCCCCGCAGGATGGATCGGACCTGCAGATTGGGGAGCATAATGAATCGGACTCCTATCCATTGTGCTCAATCCGCAGATCAGAACCATCCTGCGGCGATCGTCGGCATGCAACCTATACGGGGTGACAATGGACCCGCTCCACGAAAAGGTAAGTTGTAAAGAAAGCTGACGATCTCCCTATGAAGGAGCCACTGACAATCTCTCTATGGAGGGGCCCCTAGACTGGAGGAAGCCTTCTCTCTATGGGGGCTCTTCGCTCTGAGAGACCGCTACCTCCAGTCCAGGGGCCTCTCTATAACAGTTCTGATGAATCTGAGCACGTGAGTCCAATCTACCTTCCTTCCACCCATCCATCCCTCCCTTCCTTCCACCTACTCCCTCCCTTCCTTCCTCCCACCCCTCCCTTCCTCCCTCCCTTCCCTCCCTTTCTTCCACCCACCCCTCCTTTCACCCCCCCCTCCTTCCTCCCCGTCCACCAACCCCCCTTCCTTTTACCCCTCCTCCTTTCCTTCCTTCCTCCCACCCCTCCATTCCTCCCCTCCCTTCCTTCCACCCACCCCTTCCTTCTTTCCTTCCACCATTTCCTTCCTTCCTTCCTTCCTTCCTTCCTTCCTTCCTTCCTTCCTTCCTTCCCTTCCTTCCTCCCTCCTCTCCCCTTCCTTCCCTCCCTCCCTCCCTTCCTTCCACCCACCCACCCCTTCCTTCCACTCACCCCTTCTTTCCTTCCACACACCCCTTCCACCCACCCACCCCTCCCTTCCTTCCACCCACCTGTCCCTTCCTTCAATCCACCCCTTCCTTCCATCCACCCCTTCCTTCCACCCACCCACCCTCCCCTTCCTTCCTTCCACCCACCTGTCCCTTCCTTCCTTCCATTCACCCCTTTCTTCCACCCACCCCCCCCTTCCTTCCTTCCATCCACCCCTTCCTTCCTCCTACCCTTCCTTCCACCCACTCCTCCCTTCTGTTCATCCACCCATACTTTCCTTCCACCCCTTTCTTCCTTCCATCCACCCACCCCTAACTTCCATCCACCCACCCCTAACTTCCATCTACCCCTTCCCCTACCCCCTTCCTTCCTTCCTTCCTTCCTTCCTTCCTTCCTTCCCCCCCCCCTCACTTCTTTCTATCCACCCCTTCCTTCCTTCCTTCCTTGCTTCCTTCCTTCCTTTCTTTTTCCTTCCACCCACCTCTCACTTTCTTCCATCCACCCCTTCCTTCCTTCCACCCACCTCTCACTTTCTTCCATCCACCCCTTCTTTCCTTCCACCCACCTCTCACTTTCTTCCATCCACCACTTCCTTCCTTCCACCCACCCCTTCCTTCCTTCCATCCCCTCCTTTCTTCCTTTCATCCTTCCACTACCCTTCCTTTCTTCCTCCTTTCCCCTTCCTTCCTTCCACCACTCCCTTCTCTCCTTCTTTCAAGGAGGAGAAGATGGAGGGGGGAGCAGTAAAAATGCAACTCAGCTGTGAGCTGAACCACCCCCCCAGAAAATAAAAATTATCTACAGCCCCGGCTTAAATTCTGCAATTAATAAAGCTCATGTTCTCTGTGTGGAAACAGTGGTCTCTCTGCAGAGGTCGGACACATCACTGGCTGAATCAGAGCTTTACAATCGGTATAACTTGTGTTCTTTGCTGATTCAGCAAGTTATGCCTGTCCTCTGCAGGAAGACCACTGTTTGCCCACAGAGAGCAAGGATACGTCTCTGCAGCATGATGGCAGGGGACAGGCTTTTCTACTCTGTGGATGCTTTATAAAGAAAACAAACTCTAAGACTCTGTTTTGATGCACTTGGACCGTATTTACTGATTTAGATTGTTGAGGGGCTTTTGTTCAAATAAAAAGGGTATCCTAACAGGACACAGGCTGAATATTCATAGACCCTGGGCTATAGGCTGGTACCTTTAGGTAATTGGACACTGGTAAGCTTTTGGGGACACGCCCCCTGGGTGTCCCCTATATAACCCTACCCCTCTCCGCAAGTCCTCAGTTGTGTGCTAGTGATGGACCTCGTCTCCGTTATAGAGAAATCACTCTTAGACTAACTACTTTATACATTTTATCTTCAGATTCTCCAGTCAACTCTACAATCAGCTTCACTGTCTTCTAAAATGACAAAAGAAGAAGCGCATCTAAGTCAGTGTATTCTACACATGTGTATGGGGATACAAAACATCAATTACAGGTCAGAGGAAAGTCAACTGCAGATCAAACGTAGGTCAATGGATGGTCAACTGTAAGTCAAACGTAGGTCAGTGGATGGTCAACTGCAAGTCAAACGCAGGTCAATGAATGGTCAACTGCAAGTCAAATGTAGGTCAATGAATGGTCAACTGCAAGTCAAATGTAGGTCAATGGATGGTCAACTGTAAGTCAAACGTAGGTCAGTGGATGGTCAACTGCAAGTCAAACGCAGGTCAATGAATGGTCAACTGCAAGTCAAATGTAGGTCAATGAATGGTCAACTGCAAGTCAAATGTAGGTCAGTGGATGGTAAACTGCAAGTCAAACGTAGGTCAATGGATGGTCAACTGCAAGTCAAACGTAGGTCAATCGATGGTCAACTGCAAGTCAAATGTAGGTCAGTGGATGGTCAACTGCAAGTCAAATGTAGGTCAATGGATGATCAACTGCAAGTCAAATGTAGGTCAATGGATGGTCAACTTCAAGTCAAATGTAGGTCAATGGATGGTCAACTTCAAGTCAAATGTAGGTCAATGGATGGTCAACTGCAAGTCAAATGTTGGTCAAAGGAAGGCCAACTTCAAGTCAAATGTATGTCAATGGATGGTCAACCATAAATGATGACTTGGCATCCAATCCCATAGGGAAAAGATCTTTCTGGTATAATATGCCGGGTCCACTGAAGCAAGGTATCACCATGACTGCATAAGGCCACCCATTCCTTTTTGCAAGTCAAATGTAGGTCAATGGACAGTCAACTGAAAGTCAACTGTAGGTCGAAGGAAGGTCAACTGCAAATCAAATGTCGGTCAATGGATGGTCAACTGCAAGT